ATATATTTAAAGGTACACCTGTGGATATATTTAAAGGTACACCTGTGGATATAGTTAAAGGTACACCTGTGGATATAGTTAAAGGTACACCTGCAGCATGCTTCTTCTGTGTGACATGGGAAAATCCAAAGAAATCAGCCAAAGATATTAGGAAGAGAACCGTCGACCTCCACAGCTCGTTTCATCCTTGAGTATAACATCCAGACGCCTGTAGGTTCACCTGTTTAAACTATTTTACAAGTATAAACACCATGGGAACGTCTCGACATCCCGCTCAGGAAGGAGACAAACTGTGTTCCCAAGATCAATGTGTTTTGGTGCAAAACGTGCACGTTAACCCCAAACAAGAGCTAAAGACCTCACGAAGCTGCTGAAGCTGGTCATTATCCAGCAGAGTGGTGAACACGAGCTGAAAGGCCACTCTGCGAGGAAGAAGCCATTACTCACAAAGAACAGGTTGCAGATGCACACAGGGACAAACACCTTTATTTCTGGAGACGTGTCCTGTTGTTGCATGAAACTAAAACTGGACTAGCATGAATACCATGGAGGAAGAGGAGGGACATTTCCCAGCCTGATAACTGTCCCAACTGTGAAAATAATAAAATAGATGTCATCACGAGAAAACAGCTGAAGATTCTCAAGCATCTCAAGCCATCGATGAGGACAGCTTGGGTCTTCCACATGGACGTGATCCTCAGCATACAACCAGTCAAAGTGTCTTCAGACCAACAAAGTCAATGTTTTGGAGAGGCCATCACAAAGTCCTGATCTCAACCCCATGGAGAACGTGTGGAGCGACACCAAACCTGACCTAGGAATGGGACAGAACTCCAGCAAACCACTGTGAGAAGCTCGTGGAAGGAAACTTTAAACTTTTGACCCAAGTCAGTTTTAGGACGATGCTACAAATTATTAAAATTCATGTAAACTTGTGGCTTTGGGGAAAAAATAAAAATCTGTGATCCAGTGAAACCTGACCTACATGGTAAATGGACTGTACTTAAATAGCACATTTCTATCTTATAACGACACTCAAAGCTCTTTACAACACAATCTGTGCCTCAGTGACCCGTTCATACAGCACTCTACATCTCTACAAAGATAACTGAACAAATCATTCTAAAGAGACTAATCAGAGCTTGATCACATTCATACACTGATGGGCTATGAGAGGTTCAGCGTTTTGCCCAGGGACACTTTGGCATGACTGCTGGTGGATTTGAACCCCCAACTCTTGCACTGGAGGACTGCTCCAACCACAGCCGCCCCAACAGGACAGGTAAATGCATCTCTACATATTGCCCAATGTTTGACACTTGAAATTCACGAGTTTAGCCCCAAGAGTTTACAGCTTTTTAATAGAAATGCTTTTTAAGATGGAAAGTTCAAGTTCAGTAATTTTTTTGTTTAATGTAGAAATGTTGATGCCTGAAACTTGAGCGTTGCATAATTTAATTTACTTGTACAGCTACTGTTCAAAACACCGTGATCTCCCTGCAGAAATAAAGATGTAACAGTGCCATGAAGTACTCTTTAGGTGTGGAGGCTCGAGAGAGCTTCCACTGGTGACTCGTACAGAAGTGACAGTTGAACTGGGACTCGGGCCGACCACTCCAGTACATCAGTTGAAACG